TAAGAGACCAGGATAATTGATAATGGGATCTGGCAACTTGAACAATTAAAAAAATATATAGCCGTTTAGAGATTATTTCAACTGCAAAGCCACTAGTAAACATGAGGTGAATAACTCTACCTGTACAATGTCCTGTTAGAATAGGTTGAGTCACTTAGGGTGAGCAAATGATAAATTATGCTACAATAATTTCAGGGGCACTATTCATTTCCTCAAATTGAAGACGGCATTCTATATGGGGTTGAGTGGCTGCTTATCAGTGCTCTGTTTATAGAACTGAAAAATCATGCCCTATCAGGCAAAAAGCATCTTTAAATATAGATACCTATTTCAAAAGGAATCTCTCAAAATGCAAAGCCAGGCCTCTGTCCCTACAGAGTGAAGTTGGTCCTGGGGGCCTTTGACCTACATGGGAGCACTGCTTGCTTATGTGTAGCTGTGCCAGGCATTGATGTTCCCTCAGTGACATTCCGACTCTGGAACTCACTGGAACACACTCTTTCCTAGTGCTGAAGCCACCATCTCCTAAAAGAGGCACTGCAGCTTGTGTTTTCTTGTCCTGCTTCATAAAAATGAACCTTCAGAGAAAAGCATAAGTGTGCTTGCCTGGAAGAGAGGGGTTTCTTAACATCCTTCCCATCCTGTCCAATGAAAAGCTCACCTAACCTCCAAATTGCAATTTGATGGATGAAATTGTTTCAGTGAGGTGGCATTGTCTTGGTAGTTTGGTGGGGGTAGGAATAGGGAGGTATTGACCTTCAATGGGGCCAGTGTTGTGTGGTGTGACTGGCTCCAAGGGACTCAGGTAAGTACCATTCAGTCCCAGAGCCTCATGTTGCATCCCCAACCCAGCCAGCTTTTGAAGTCCTGGGAGGCACTCAGTGAAAGAGCAGGCAATTTCCTACCATTTATCCCCTGCTTGGAAAACTGGTAGCAAAAACCCATCTAATAAGGGGACCTTCTTCACACAAGAGTGCTGGTGGCACACACACATACAGTTCAGAACCAGACCAAGGGCTGCTTAGAGTAGTGATTTTCAAACTATAGTTTGCATCAGAAACCCCCCGGAGGGCTTGTTGAAACACAGATTTTTGGGATGCACCCCCTCCCCTGACCTTTCTGATTTGTAGGTCTGGAATAGGGCCTGAGAATGTGCATTTCTTTCTTTTCTTTTTTTGAGACAGAGTCTCATTCCGTTGCCCAGGCTGGAGGTCAGTGGTGTGATCTTGGCTCACCACAACCTCTGCCTCCCAGATTCAAACGATTCTCCTGCCTCAGCCTCCTGAGTAGCTGGGACTACAGGCGTACACCATTATGCCCGGCTAATTTTTGTATTTTTGGTAGAGACAGGGTTTCACTATGTTGGCCAAGATGGTCTTGAACTCCTGACCTCATGATCCACCCACCTCAGCCTCCCAAAGTACTGGGATTACAGGTGTGAGCCAACATGCCCGTCTGAAAAAGTGCATTTCTAACGAGTTCCCAGATGATTTTGTTGCTGCTGGTCTGGTGAACACATTTTGAAAACCACTACTTAGAGTTAACTTCTAAAGGAGCTTTATTTCCTCACCAATGTGGAAGAATGGAGGAACATTTTCTCCAGGTCCTCCTTTGAGATTTGTAGAGATGTGTCAGGACCAAAAGTTTTTTCTGAAACCAAAGATGTGTAGTATGGCTGAGGTGCATTATAGCACCAAAAGACGGAAAAATCTGACCCCATTGACTTTTAGGGCCCATTTACTTAATTCTGGCTTCTCCTCTACATGTCCAGTTCCTGTTACTTTTTTTTGAAATTACTTTTATTTTTTAAATTCACAAATAATAATTATATGTACTTATGGCATACAACAAGATGTTTTTATGTATGTATACATTGTGGAATGACTAAATTAAGGTAATTAACATCTATTACCCCACATATATTTTTTTGTGGTGAGAACACTTAAAATTTACTCTGAGCAATTTTCAAGTATATGTTATATTACTATCAACTATAATTAATATGTTGTACAAGAAATTTTCTGAACTTATTCCACCTGTCTAACTAAAACTTTATATCATTGACCAACATCTCCCAAGCCCCTTCCTCCCCCAGCCCTTGATAACCATCATTCTACTCTCTGCTTCTGAGTTTGACTTAAGATTCTACATATAAGCAAGGCCATGTGGTATTTGTCCTAGACTTCTCTATACATAATTGCCTCTTTGCCAGTTATCTGAGAAGTCTATTAAAATAGAGAAAAACTGGCAACAAAAGAGCTCTTTCCAAACCTCTTGTCTAGAAGAAATGTCTCTAGTCACACGGTACTTTCTCCCTTCTTGATTTTGCATCAGTCCAAAGTTAATCTATCCTTGCTCTGGATTGCACAAACTTGTGTCTTCTTGGGTATCTTGTGTCACTAATTCCCCCTTCTCTTCCAATTTTAAACGTTTTCTTTATTAGTTCTCACCTCCAGTTCACTCTTTCCCCACTGCTGACACTCAGCTTACTCACACACATCCCAGTCACTGAGTTGCCACAGGCAATGGCATTTCTGCCTTCTTGGCAAAATATGTTCATTAGGGTATTAGGTATTAAGTACCTATTGATCAGGCACTGTGCTAGGTGCAGCCATTACAGAAATGAGCAGCAGACACCATCTCCATTCTGATGAGACTCACCAGATCAGCCATTTCTGATGAACACTCAGGTGAGTTAACTCTCACTTTTCACTTTTGCAGGCATTCCTTAATGCCACTTAGATCTCCCCATTCCCCAAGTTCCTTTCTTTCCAAACTCCCTCCCCTTATTAGACACTGGAAGTCACCTGAGGAACAGTCCTTCAGTAGACACTGTTGGCCAAGGGTTATCTGGCCCAGAAATGTGTTTCAGCTGGACACAGACCCTCAGCTCTAGGCAACTGCAGCACTCCTGAGTAGCAGGGCAGGTGGGGAGGGACATGAGTTCCAGTGCAGGGTGAGCTCAGCAAAGGGATGGGGACTGATTCCAGAGTCCAGGTCATCCTTGCAGCTCTTTGTATGCCATAAATATGTACAGTTACTACATGTTAACTTACAGTAATGAAGAAAAGCAAATAAATGAACAAGACCCGATTCTGAGTCATCTAAAATCATAAGGAACTATATTTATTTATTTTGAGACAAGGTCTCTCTCTGTTGCCTAAGCTGGAGTGCAGTAGAGTGATCATAGTGCACATTAGCCTTGACCTTATGGGCTCAAGCAGTCTTCCCATCTCAGTCTCCACAGCAGCTGAGACTACAGGTGCCTGACACCACACCAGCGCAATTTTTCTATTTTTTGTAGAGGTAAGATTTCACCATATTGCCAAGGCTAGTCTCAAACTTCTGGGTTCAAGCGATCTGCCCACCTTAACCTCCCCAAAGTGCTGGGAATACAGACAGGATTCACCACACCCTGCCAAGGAATCATATTAAAGCTGACCAAAATTGGCTCTCTTTTTTTTTTAAAAAAAAGAAGAAATTCATTTATTATGTGATAAAGTGTAAGCTAGGGAAAATAGTAAGATTTTATTCAGATTACTTGGAAATTTGAAAACAAAACTGTAACGATCCCACTACTCAGAAAGGGGTTAATAAGAAAAGATTCAGTGTTGGCACAAATGAAAGAAAGTGCAATTAACTTCATGAGTAACAATAATTTCTTTCTTTCTTTCTTTCTTTTTTTTTTTTTGAGATGAAGTCTTGCTCTCTTGCCCAGGCTGGAGTGCAGAGATAGTCTTGGCTCACTGCAACCTCCCCCTCCCAGGTTCAAGCAGTTCTCCTGCCTCAGCCTCCTGAGTAGCTGGGATTACAGTCACCTGCCAGCACACCCAGCTAACTTTTTTTTTTTTTTTGTATTTTTAGTAGAGATGGGGTTTCACCATGTTGGCCAGGCTGGTCTCAAACTCCTGACCTTGTGATTCACCCACCCTGGCCTCCCAAAGTGCTGGGGTTACAGCCGTGAGCTACCGTGCTCGATCTTTCATGGGTAACGGTTTCTATTTGAGAACATAAGTACCACAAGAAAATATTTCCTGGTTTTTGACTATGACTTTTATCCTAACACTCTGTAAAGTACCCAAAATTCAACAAGAATTGAATGGTCATTTGTCACAATTGTCAGTTATTCCTATGAATCATTAATTTTTTTTCAAAACCAAAGATAAACAAGTGGAAATACATAATCTGTACAACAAACTACCTTGACATGAGTTTACCTACATAACAAACCTGCATATGTACTGTAAACCTAAAAAAAATATTACCTAGAATTTGCTTAATGGGATGCATGCACCTCTTACCTTTAAGTCTGATGTACATGAATTTATACCATTTTGCAAAACTGCAAGTGCAATCCTATTTTAGGATTATGAGCAAAGCTTGAAGCACATAACATATTACAGAAACTGCCTTTATTGACAACTGATGGAAAAATTTCTCAAATAACATTATGAATTTAGTATGTTAGATCTAATTTAATATAATGGCAATTTGGTCTTACTTTCTTTTTTTTTTTTTTTTTTTTTTTTTTGAGATGAGGTTTCACCATATTGGCCAGGCTGGTCTTGAACTCCTGACCTCAGGTAATCCGCCTGCCTCGGCCTCCCAAAGTGCTGGGATTACAGGCGTGAGCCACTGCACCTGGCCCTTACTTTCATATTAAAGAAAAAAGCATACTGTAAGGATGAAGGATTTTACTAAAGTTATGGTTAACTGGAGATATATCACTAATAAAAACCTTGTTCCCGGCTATAATTAAGTCAAAATTGGGTTAAGAGGCATGGCAAAGTGTGAAGAGGAGGGAGGGAGAGCATTGCCAATAAAAAGCCCTCATCAGCTACTTGGGAGGCTGAGGCAGGAGAATCACTTGAACCCGTGAGGCAGAGGTTGCAGTAAGCTGAGATCACGCCACTGCACTCCAGCCTGGGTGACAGAACAAGACTCCATAAACACACACACACACACACACACACACACACACACACACACACCCACCCACAGGGCCCATTTCCCACAAGGCCTGAGCTCCTGGTGGAAGCAGCTGGAAGACAGAGGAGCTTCCAGCAGAAGAGGTGAGTCCATGCCTGCGTATTTGTTTTTCCTTCTCAGATCTCTAGAAATTGGGAGTTATGGCCTGTGGGGGTAAATGAAGAAAATTAGTAATCAATGCATTTCACAAAGGCTGTATGAGTGTTGCCTCAGTGTTGAAACCAGTCACCCTGGATCTTGTCATGCTAGGAGTGGTGGCAGTCAATTTGGTATTGAATTCCAAGGCTTCAAGAAGAATTCAATTCTTATTTTCAACAATGTCTTGCTCAGGTCCCCTGAGAGGTGGGAAGTGGCGAAATGACCCCAGCTTGCTGTCTTCACATGACTGCTGCCATTTCATGGGCTCAGGCACATCTGCTGGGTCACCAGGAGAATGGACCCTTCCTCCACCTCAGCTCAAAGCACAGTGACCATTTGGGACTTGTCTTTCCCAGTAGAACTTCAAATCTCTGATGTGGCACATGCTTGAGTGTAGTACTCATGGCTTGTTCTAGGAATGACATAGCTGGAATACAATAGCTCTCTTCATGTACAGATTGTCACCTGTCACAACTAATAGGCCTTCAACTCAGAAGTTCACTTCCCTTGTATACTTTACCCTGGCAGTGAACATGGATGGAGTCTTACAAGAAGCTAGCATCTGCAAAAAACCAATGTCCCTGGAGTGTGGATGCGTCATCTGTGTCAACTGCATCACTTCACTGCAGATGGACCTTCTTAGGGGGTATCTATTTTGCTGCTTCTGTTTTATGGTCTCTCAGAAGAACAAAATCAGGCCCAACTGGCAGCTAGGGAAGCTGTTTTTCTATATTAAGGAAGTGTAGCCCCAGTGGAAAATGATTCTACAGATGAAGCTGAGGATGCAGAAGATGCAGAAGTTCCAGGGTAAAAAATCTGTATATCCTGCCTCCTTCTGACTACTGTACCAGGAAAAATCACTTGTGCAATTGGCTCTCCATTCCATATGGGGATTAACTGATGTCTGGCACCTAAACGTGAAATGCTTCTTCAGCATCAGTGATTCTCAGCCCTGTCAACACCTGATGGTCTTCAACCAAAAATACCTATGTCTATGTCATGGATTAGACAAGGGAATCTCAAAATTTAGTGTACTCAAATTACTTGGGGATCTTGTTATAAAACAGATTCTGAAATAGGAGATTTCAGGATTGATCCTTCTGGCTTGGGGACCACGCTGAGTAGCAATAACTTAGAGTAATTGAATCTGAGTTTGTTTCTGGTTGAGATGCCCGGGAGCCTTCTGTTATTCCCCTGGAAATTCTAATGTGCAGTGAATGTTGGTATACATTGCACTAAATACTCTCAACCCAGGGTTTGGAAAAATTTGGAATCGCACCTGTAGTATTTGTTCCTGTGTGTATGGGATGAGTTGCAGACTTTGGTCTCCTCATCTGTGCACCATGGGTTTCAACAGGGGCTTCTTGGCTACAGAAAATACTCTCAGATTCCATAACTCTGGAGGGAAGGAGCATTTAAATGATTATGGTCAACATGGGTAAAGAATCACACCTATAACCAGTAGTGGGCTCCTATGATGTCCCCAACACTTTTGGCTTCTGCATGGTATCTTCCCTAACACTCATGATTTCTACTAATCTACCTACCAATATTAGACCCTCTACTGAAATATGGAGCACAGATTGAGTCTGCCCAAATTGCCCTTAGAAAACTCTTTTTCCTTCTGTGTCAAAGTCCACTCATCTTATTTCATCTAGTAGTTCACCATCAAGGAGGGGTCAATCACCTGATGCCATTCTTTCATCTACAGCACTTATATTGGTGATCACATCTATCTTTTGACTTGAAGAATAATATGTTCTGTAGGTTTTTTTTTCAGAATACTCTAGGAAATTAATTTTCTCTAGGTCAGATCTTTTTTTCCTTCACTGAAATTGGTGGCTTCACCTTTGAACCAGATACCCAATATCTTAAAATGCTCATTCATTGTATCTGTTGCCTTGATTCTCTACAATTAATCAACTATGATTAACAACTTTTAAATAGCTTTCTCTAGTCTCTTAAATTTCAGTTTCCTACCATTTTTTTTGATTAAGGCCTCACCTCCCCTGTAAGATGGAAAACATTCTTCCATCTATGTCCCCATCCTTCTCCTGTCCAGAGCTAATCTGCCCTTGCTCTGGATTGCATGAACTTGTGCCTTCTTTGGTATCTTGTGGCATTAATTCTCCCTTCTCTTCTAATGTTTTCTTTTGGTTCTTACCATTTAACATAAAAGTATACTCACCTTTATTTGGGGGTGGGATGAAAGGTTTCTTAACCATACATCTCTATTTAACTATTCCCACATCTCTCTTTTCAGCCAAACTTTTAGGAGCAGAAGCCCTCAGCTGATGTCTTTACTTTCTCACCTCCAGTTCACTCTTTCCCCACTGCTGACACTCAGCTTACTCACACACATCCCAGTCACTGAGTTGCCACAGGCAATGGCATTTGTGGCTTTTCTGCCTTCTTGGCAAAATATAACTCTGTTCATTGGGGTATTAGATATTAAGTACCTATTGATCAGATACTGTGCTAGGTGCAGCCATTATGGAAATGAGCAGCAGACACCATCTCCATTCCGATGAGACTCACTAGATCAGCCATTTGGGATGAACACTCAGGGGCGTTGACTCTCACTTTTCACTTTTGCAGGCATCCCTTAATGCCACTTAGATTTCCCTATTACCCAAATCCCCTTTCTTTCCAACACCCCTTCCCTTATCAGACACAGCTTTTTAAAGCAATCATTGTCATACCCATGGCTTCAGTTATATTCTGTATGCTATAATGACAGTAGAAATTAAATGTTGTTCTTATCTAACGGTTTTATTTTACATGACACCTCATTTGCTACAACCATAAATTCAAAGATTCTCTAAAAAAGTAATCACTAAAAAATTGTCATATTCTTAGTATGTGAATTTTAGGAAATTTCCTTAATGATTTGAGTTAGTGTATGTGTGTTACTTTTGAAAGCATGAGTTGGGATGTCACAGAATGGACTTAGCCTATAGAGATTTATATCCAGTTTTGAACCAGAGGGTTCCATTTCAATGTGACATGTAAGAGTTCAAAACTATCTTATTCCCCACACCTATTCCTCTTCCTACATTCTTTGTCTAGGAGAAAATCATGGCTATTTACCCAGTCCTTCAAACTACAGCCTTAGCAGCCAGTTTTTCCTTCTGTTTCCCCGCTTCTTCCACATCTAATCACCTAGCACTTCTTGCTCTGTCTCCCAAATGATCACAAAACTTTTCCTTCTACTTCAGTCACCTCCAGTGCCTTTAGCCTTACTATTCTCCAGATGCACATAATGACTCTTATTTAGCCCCATTGCTTCCATCAATCCCTCTCCATTGTGCAGAGTGATACTGCAAACACGTCTGATAGAGACTCCTCACCTGTGTGGGGTTCAGTGACTCTCTTGTTTCCAGAATAAAATTCAAGCTCTACCCCAGCATCTAATTTTGGGTCAGATAGATATGGGTTTGTATTCCAGGTTCATTCACTGTCCAGCAGTCTAGCCTTGGACAACTGAACCCTCTGAGCCTTTGTTTGCTCATCTGCCTGAACTCACTGAGGTTTGGGACTGTTTCACACATGCTGTGTTGGCACTTAGAGGAGACTTAATCAATGTTGAATAAAGGGGAGGCATTTTAAAATCCATATGAAAAAACTATTATTAGTTTAGAAAAAAATAGTTAATCTCCCATGTCACTTCCCCTCCAAGCTTGACTTCTACCTTTACTTTCTCATCATGATTGGCTTGTGGGGATCAAGATTACTCAGGATTAAATTCTGGCCCCATCTTGAGCAGGCATAGAAACTTGAAGTTACTTAACTTCTCCATCTAGAGTTCTTCTGTAAAATCTGTAAAATGGAATGGGTTCTGGGGGTTAAATTAATATGCCACAGTTAGAACACTGTCAGGCTTGCCAGTTGTTTACTATTCATCTTTATCAAATGAGGACAGTGGTATCACACTGTGTAGTTCTCAGTTTTGTGTAAGAAAACAATGCTTTATGCATTGTTAGTAAAAGAAATATCTGAATACTCCTGCCATGGAAGGAAGAAACAGAGGGAGAAAAGAGAGTTGGTATGCCCTAGCATTTCAGAACTGAGAAGGATGAGTTCAGTCCCTATTTTATAGACAAGGAAGAGAAAGTGTGATATGTCCTAGGGTTTCATTCAAGTTGCAGCCATGTGGTCAAGTTGAAGACAAAACTTAACACTTGTAAGACAGGAGAGAAGCATTTAGTTACAAAAGCAGTCAAAAATTTATGTGTTACTACATTTGGTGAACAAATGAAAGTGTCCAGACTCAGAAAAACAGAGATACTAATGGAATTGATTTTAGTAACCAGGGTTTTCTTTCTTTCCTTTTCCTTCTTTCTTTCCTTCTTTCCTTCTTTTTCTTTCTTCCTTTCTTTCTTCTTTTTCTTTCTTTTTTTCTTTCTTCTTTCTCTCTTTCTTTCTCTTTCTTTCTTTCTTCTTTCTTTCCTTCCTTCGTTCTTTTCTTTCTTTCTCTCTCTCTTTCTTTCTTTCTTTCCTTCTTTTTTCTTTTGTTTCTTTTTTGAGATGAAGTCTCACTCTGACACCTAGGCTGGAATGCAGTGGCATGATCTCGGCTCACTGCAACTTCCACCTCCCAGGTTCCGGCAATTCTCCTGCCTCAGCTTCCCAAGTAGCTGAGAGTGCAGGTGCACCACCACACCTGGCTAATTTTTGTATTTTTTGTAGAGATGGGGTTTCAACATATTGGGCAGGCTGGTCTCCAACTCCTGACCTCGTGATTACCTGCCTCGGCCTCCCAAAGTGCTGGGATTACGAGTGTGAGCCACCGTGCCTAGCCAGTAACCAGGGTTTTCTATTGAGTTCATTGCCCAGGGTGACTTTCAATAACGACCATACCCCCACACCCCAATTTTCTCAGGACTGGAAAGCTCAGGCAGCCCAGGATGAATAATGCAGTCACAGAGAGGGGCAGGGTGGCCACAAGGTAGGCAGCAGCAGGGATGGGCATTGTAAGCCATTGGTTGGGGCTGTGGGGTGGGGCATTGTAAGCCACTAGCCTGACTTGGTTGTTTCCTGGTAACCAGGTGACATTGGAGGCTTTGTGGATGATAGGCATCAGCCAGGGTCAGCAGCCTTTCGTTTAAAATCCTTTAGTATTTTAGAAATAGATGAATCTAGGTAAAAGTAATTCTGGGTAACCACAGTTTTTTGAATAAAAACTAAGTCCATTGAAATAGAAAACATTGTATCATGAAGATATAGAAATAGGATCAGCTCCTTTCTTTCATTTTAATTGCAGAGATTTTATTACTATAGAGAAAATGCCTTATAGCTCTTCTATCCTTCATTCTCAGCAAACTGACACAAGAACAGAAAACCAAACACTGAATGTTCTCACATAGGTGGGTGTTGAACAATGAAAACATGTGGACTCAGGGAGAGGAACATCACACACTGGGGGCAGTTGGAGGGGGAGTGCTAGGGAGGGGACAGTGCGGGGTGGGAGGGATAACATGGGGAGAAATGCCAGATATAGTCAAAGGGAGAATAGAGGCAGCAAACCAGCTGGTTATGTATGCACCTATGAAACAACCCTGCATGACCTGCACATGTACCCCAGAACATAAAGTAAAATTAAAACAAAACTTTAGTTTGGCTCTTTCTTTCACAGAATAATTAAGCCTCATGATGGGTGTGCCTTTGTAACAAGGAAGTGCTATACTCCCTTTTCAGAATATTGAAACATTGTGAAAGAATGAACAAATAATTATGAGACTTAATAGATTGTACCTTTATACACAAAGCATGCAAGTAATTGTGAAAACTCCTTCGTGGTGTATGACAAGCCTCTGTGTAATTTTCTATACCAGGTGGTAGATGAGGTAGTGTTGAATGAGAGCACAAAATGAGCTCTTTATGGTATTATTTAGGATGTAAAACATGTTTTTGTGTATATCACATTGGAACCTTCCAAATACAAATAAGGCCTGTGTATATTCTCCCTAGGTTTGCTGATGCAGAAAGGAAGACTTAGAGATCTGAAGGGACTGTGTGAGACAGCTACTGAACAGAACTGAGTTCGAGACCAGCCTGCTCAATGTGGGCCCTATCCTATTTATTTTTAAAAATAAATTAAAAAGCGAGGGGGAGCTTTATGAAGATGATGGGATAGGGCTTCCAGAGAGGGATATCTTCTTTAAAATTCCTCAAATGGGAAGAGACTTGTTTTGGGCAAAGGACAGAAAGACCCAAGTGTGGCTGCAGCAGAGTGAAAGAGGTGCTGGGATGAACACGATGGGTGAAGGCCTTGTACACGCGGTGGGCGCCGACAAAGAATATGAACTTTAGTTGAGATGGGAAACCACTGGAGGATTATAGCCCAGGATTACTGTTGATTCTCTAAGAAAAAGACTGACCAGTGGCTCTTTGCAAATATACTGTAATACAGGTAAGGGTGGAAGCAGGAAGACCAGCTGGGGGCTGCTGGAGTAGTTCAGGTGAGAACCCACAGTGAAGAGAAAAACAATAATGACCTGAAATAGGCTGACTTGACAAAATCAAATGAATCTAAAAGTAGGTAACAAAGTGGTAAATAGACAAGCCACAGAAAAAGAAATGCAGATGATCCTTAAACACATCTTCACACATAAGAGAAAGGCAAGTGACAGCTATACTGCCGTGTCTTTCCTAGTGAGAGAAATTCCAAAAACATGGCAATACATTCTTTGGTTTGGCTGTAAGGAAAGTTGCATTCATATATTGCTGGTGGAAATGCAAGATGGCTCAACTTCATGAAGGGAAATTTGGCACAGTCTCACAACCTTGCAAATGCATTTAAACCAGACATCCTACTTTGAGGAATTTTAACCTAAAGAGATACTCCATAAATATGAAACAACCTATGCACAAAGTTCTTGTTGCATTATTTTCAATAGCTAAATATTGGAAATAACTGAAAGGTCTAGCAAGGGACTAGTAAAATAAACTGATACCAGGTCTTTGCTATTGTAAACAGTGCCACAATGAACATATGCGTGCATGTGTCTTTATAATAGAATGATTTATAATCCTTTGGGTATAGAGGTGGTTCTGCAAAAAATAAAAATAAAAAAGAATTACATGAAAAAAAATAAACTGGTACTTCCACATAAAGGAGAACTATGGAGCTGCAAAAAAGAGTAAGATGTCTTTTTATTACTATGGAGTGATTCCCAAGATAGGTTATGCAGAAAAGCAAAAAGGAGAACATGCAGTAATATACATGAAAGAAAGCAGGGGAAATAATGTGTATTTGATTTTTTTTTAAAAAACAACGTTGGGGAATTCTTGATGATGATCTGTGACTGTTTTCTCCTTAACTTCAGTGGGTAGCCAAAGTGCACATTTTCTCAAAATGTTATTTTGTTATGGATTTTTCAAAGGATGTTAACAGTTCACTTTTTACCTTTGAGTTAATTTGAGAAAGCTTTGATTTGTAATTTATTGTGCATTATATAGTATATAGACTGCTCTTGCATTTTATTTGATCCTCTCAATGTTTTGAGTTAGGTGTAATATGGAAATTATATTCTCATATAAAGTTGCATATGAGAAGGCGAGTTCTAAGAAGTTTAATTTTTCAAGGTTTGAGAAAATAAGCTTCAGTAGGTCGAGAATGTAAATTCTAAATATATGGCATATAAAACTAGAATTTATAAAAAGATGCATATGTGCTGCTTTGGATACTACCTTTAAAAAAAAAAAACACCTTTCCTTTAGTTTATTAAAGTAATTAAGCCTCAGGATTAAAACAGTAACATTAGATAATAAGAAATAAAATGAGGATACTTGTAACTCAGTAATGCTTTTTATTTTGAAGAGACAGAGTCTTGCTTTGTCACCCAGGCTGGAGTGCAGTGGCATGATCATATCTCACTGCAGCCTCAAACTCCTAGGCTCAAACGATCCTCTCACACTAGTATTCCATGTAGCTAAGGATACAAGAGCTCATCACCACATCTGGCTCATTTTTAACATAGTTTTTGTAGAATTAAGGTCTTCCTATGTTGCCCATGCTGGCCTCAAACTTCTGACCTCAAATAACCCTCCTGCCTTACCCTCCAAAAATGTTAAGATTACAGCCATGAGCCAGCACACCTAGACCAGAAATGTTCCTAAAAGTCTAAAAAATAAAGTTAAGTTCTATTAAGAATATGTAAAGGGATAAAAATATACAATGCAAAATATGAAATGTTGCAGTTCAGTCATAGTCATTGCAACATGGATTGAAATGTAAAACAGTTCAGGCAAGTCTGAGAACTGACAGGGAAATACGAGATTGGTTTGGAAGCCAGAATTAGGATTGTCAGAGCTGGGAAAGCAGAAGCAAGGCAACAGTGTGCACAGGACTGGGGCATGCAGCAGCTCCGTGGTATGCCATGTGTCCCCTTATATGGCAGGCCAGCTTTAGGCCAGCAGATGAGAATCACCTGATGGGTAGAAAGAGTGGATTTAGGTAAAATCTCAGACTGTGCATCATAACTGAGAGACTTTAAATGTTTGTCTTATGGGTCATAAAACCAATAAAAGTGACAACGAAGGGATAATAGAGTAGGTCAGTAAATACAGTAAGTCACCTGCCACCTCTCCAGGGCATCAACCATCCCAAAGAAATATTGGGGCAGCAGGATTTGACAAAGCTTGTGAGAAGAGCTCTCTCTTCTCACAAGAGAGGGTCCAGGGCATGATCTCAAAGATTCAGGTGTTCAGGGTCCAGGGCATGATCTAGAGGACTCAGGTGTTCAGGGACTCCCCAGGGAACCAACTACATTCTTGTCCCGGATCTATCACTCCTTACTGTGGTAATTCTGGGAAAGTCACTTGAAATGTCTAAGTTTCAATTCATTAAGTTGGGAAATATGGGTTGTAACCCCTGCCCTGCCCGTTTCTTGGGGCTGATGTGGGGATCCAGGAAATCACAGATTTCTGTCATGAGCTGGAAAGCATCATGCCCATGGAAACCGTGAAATCACTTTCCATCCTCCCCTGCCTGGGAGCCATGCAAGCCCCCTCTCTGTACCCAACCGCTACCAAGTATCTGGATTATTCTTGCAGACAGTGAATGACTGAACACTTTTGGGCATTTACAAAGAATGAGGCTTTTTAAGTCTTTATCTCTATTTCATCCTTTTAGGTGCTATGGACCTTAGTAGGTCTATAGCACAGATCTACTAATGTTTCCACATCTCAGTATGGGAACTGAGGCACAGATGGGTTCATATCACTCTCCCAGGTATGTGCAGATTCTAAGTAGAATTTAACGCAGGCCATTCTCGGTGACTTGGATTGCTGCTTTTCTATATTGTCTCATCTAAATAAAGGCATTTGCCTGCACAAACAGTCTGTTTGAAGTGCAACCAACCTTACAAAATCCTCCTAGAACCCAAACATAATGCAGGTAGAGTTGAAAAGCAAAAGTTTGATCTGTGAATAAGGTTTTACTAATTTCTCTGTGGTCCTCAGCCAGGAAGATGTCAAGCACTGTCTTTCTATAATACATTTCCTAGAATCTATAAGAAGTCTGCTCTACCTTTCAGGTTTGACTGGCCACATGGAGAAGAAAGAAAATTTGCCCTGGAGAAAATAAAGGTAGTGTGGAAATTAAATCATTCAGTCATTTAAGCAAATAATTCCAGTTTATTCATCCTGTGCCCCGTATTAGAGAAACTCAGTAAATGCTATGTCATGTTCATTTATTTCATTTGCACCAATTTAAATGCATTAAATCAATGGTGGGTGATACAACTACACAAGTAAAGTTACATTGACAACTTACAGTTCGGTTCTTTTTGTTTGTTTGTCTGAGAAAAGGTCTCATTTTGTCACCCAAGAGTGCATTGGTGCAATCAAATTGCAATCTTGACCTCCCTCGGTTCAGGTGATCCTCCTACCTCAGCCTCTTAAGTAGCTGGCCGCAGGGCGCACGCCTTTATACTAAGCTATTTTTTCTTCTTTCTTTCTTTCTTTCTTTTTTGTTTTTTTGAGACGGGATTTCACCATGTTACCCCGGCTTGGTTCACTTTTGATAATAAAGGACATCTCAAATGTTTATAGACATTTGCTTTCAGTTTGGGCAATCATAAATATAGCTATTATAAACCTTCTTGTGTCTTGTTTGGAAACATAATTTTTAAAAGGTAACAAAGGAAATACTTAGGATTATGATTACTTGCTTGTATGGTAAGACCACGTTTCTTTGTAAGAATTTGGTAGAATTTACTGGTGAAATCACCCGAATGTAGTGTTTTTGTTTTTCGAAAAGATATTGATTCAATTTCTGAAATAAATATAGGCCTATTCAGATGATCCATTTCTCTTGGGAAGACTTTTGGTCTTCTAAAATAGATCAAAATAAATTAGCTCATTTCATCTACTGTATCCAATTGTGAGCATAGATGTGTGTTCAGAATATTTCTTCATTATTTATTATTTTTTGATTTGCTCTTTAACTGTTATTAATAGAACATTGTGACTTCTTTCTTTCCTTTGTGGTTCACCAAGGTAGAGGTTTACCAATGTTACTAATCTTTTCAAAGAACTGGTTTTTGGTTTTGTTGATTTTCTCTGATGATTTCCTGTTTTCTATTCCATTAATTTCCTCTGTTTTATATTACATTGCTGTTTTTCTCTCATCACCCAAGGCGGAAGCTTAGATTATGAATTTGGATTTTTCTCATGACTGACTCAGCATCATGAATGTAACTCACTGTAATCTCAATAAAATGCACACTTAATAATTAATAAATATGTATGATTTACTACAACTTTAAAAATACAACAGGATAGACGATAAATGTAATAGCAGGATATGTAGATCCACAGAAGTTAAATAACCTTGTAACATTTCATAAAATGTAAAGATTTGCCTGGATCTTCACATGGGCAGGAGGTGTGATGAGATGCTCTTGCTGAACCACTTTCTGTATTAACCAGTTCTTAGACTATTTCACATTGATCAGGTTGCCCTAGCTAGAAAGCCAAGACTCTTTCATTTCTTTCTGCCCCTCTCCTTTGCCTTCCTTCAACACCAAAGAGAATAGTCCAGCAGCAGCTCAGTCCCTGCTTGTTAACCGCCCATCTTCATATAGCCCCCGCCCACATTCCCCAAAGCTCCTTGTGAGATTCCTCAGCAGCACCAATGGCCTGACTGTCAATCTGTGTTTTCTTAGGTCCTATTCAAGACCTCCAGGACTGTCAAATTCAGGACATGGAGCAGGACATATCGTCAATCATGGTAAATGCATTTCTTTGTCTTAGAGAAATGTTTCTTTCTGGGGCCTTCTAGAATATCAAGTGAATATCATTTTTCACTGCCATTGTGCATCAGGCCTCAGTTGTCATGACTCTAGTGACAGGTCACTGGAGTTAATTGAGTTAATTACCAACTGAAGCCTGATTGACAATGTCAGTCAAAGGACTGCATCACTTACAAACTGGTAGTGAGCATATTTCTTAGTAGCAACCTTTTCTTCTTGAAAAAAATTATTTTGCATTTGCCAGCCAACATGCACTTGCTAAATATTCCATGAAAACTCACTGCCTCAGTGGCTCACGCCTGCAATCTCTGCACTTTGGGAGGCTGAGGGGGTGGATCACAAGGTCAGGAGTTTGTGACCAGCCTGGCCAATATGATGAAACTGCATCTGTGCTAAAAATACAAAAATTAGCCGAACATGGTGGCAGGTGCCTGTAGTCCCAGCGATTCGGGAGGCTGAGGCAAGAGAATTGTTTGAACCTGGGAGGCAGAAGTTGCAGTGAGCCGAGCTCGTGCCACCACACTTCAGCCTGGGGGATAGAGCAAGACTCCAAACAAACAAACAAAAACCAAAAACAAAATCCACTACCTTTTCCACAAGCATTCTCCACGCTTTATTTTGGAACCAGTGACTTGATTACTGTTGATTACTGTTTGACATCTGGTTTTCTAATGCCACCAAGTGAATAAAAGACCTGAGCAATCAGGACCCAGTATGATCTGATGCTCATGGTGATTTTTTTCCCTCTCTTACTGCAGGAACTCTACAGCTGAGACAGCTGAAAAGCAGCAATGTATGTATTCTTTTTTTTTTTTTAAAAAAAAACAGCTTTATTGAGACATAGTTGACATGTAAACCAATTCACCGATTTAAAGTGGGTGATTCAGTGTTTTTACTATATTTACAGGGTTGTGCAGCCATTGTTACAATCTAATTTTAGAATCTTTTCATTCCCCCTCAGAGAAACCCCATAGCCATTAGTAGTCAATTCTCTTTTTTCCCCAACCCCCATGGCCCTGGCCCTAGACAGCCACTAATCTGCTTTCTGTTTCTCTAGATTTGACAACTCTGGAAATTTCTTTTTTAATTTAATTTTTATTTTAAGTTCCGAGATACATGTGCAGGATGTGCAGGTTTGTTACCTAGGTAAAACTGTGGCATGGTGGCTTCCTGCACCTGTCAACCCATCACCTAGGTATTAAGCCCCACATACATTAGATCTAAGTGATGAGTCAGGGGGGATTCTCTTGCCTACTTTTGTCTGGAGAACCTTCCTGGCTTCAGGTTCCTGATGGGTGTGAGGATCTGGGGTGTGGTGTGTGAAACAGATGGCTCCATGAAGAACTGTGATCATCCACTTGGGTCCCTGGAAACAGCCACATCACTTAGATGGTGTGGGGGAGGGTTGGGAGGTAAGTAGTAGTGAGTTAATATGTAGTGATTGTGAATGTGTCTGTCAATGTGTGTGTTTCCCCCTGAAAAAATGTGGACCTACATGCATAGCACAGTACAAGTGTCACTTTTTTTGAATTCCTGGCCTATAGTGATCCTCTCACCTCAGCTTCCAGAGTCATGTCATGTCATTTATCTAATAAAAAGGAAGAAAAATTTCAACACCACCATAGACTTCATGTAGATCACCTCTTTTCTCCCTCACCACAGCTGTACCTGAGGGCCAGTTTAAGAGCCTACTTAGATATTGTGGGATGGAGAGGGTACAGTAAGGAATGAACCCAGATTTTGACCTCCTGAATGGAAGGGGCAAACATGAACCCAGAAACGGGTCCCAGTGTTGGGATGCTCTGTGTTACTCAACTGTGTCATTCAGGCATGGGATAAGATGTCCTCACACCAGGGAGTTCCAGCACCTATGTGTACACCTATGCTTATATGTGATGACATATAAGCATGCCAAACACTGCCCATCATCAAAGGGGCCTCAGTGGTCACATAACTCAGGGTAGCAAAAGGCACATGGAACAACAAGCATTAACATGGATGTTACTGTGAAGTACACATAGAAAGCCCAAGCCTTCTGGTCAGCTCACAGATTCTGAGAAGTATAAGGTATCACATAGAACAGTGTATGCCAACATCTGTTAGTGCTGGGTCATTCCTCAGCACTTGGTCAAAGCAGGGAAAATCAGGAAGATATTGTATTGTATTGAATAACATGACTCAAGCCTCAGAAATGCTCCAATCTATGACAGACAAGAGCCTGTGCCACATGAGATAGCAGAGGACAACATTGCTGTTAGCCAGTTGCTCATCACTCTCATTGGAGACCTCCTACATAGCTAGGGTAGTGAGGCTCAGCACTCATCAGGTCCTGGGCCTTGTGATGGACTGTCTCACTGCCAGGGGCTGGTGTGAGCATGGGCAGCCACTGACTCAATGGACGCTCACACAGTACAAAGAAAGGGAGGACCAGAAAGAGAAATATCACAGAGTCAGAACTCACTATCTCTAAATAGTAGGGAAATGCAGTATTTTAAAAGCTTTTTTTCATTCACTTGTCTTTACAACAAGGAATTACTAAAGATGTAATACAATATTTTGCCTAACATTGAATCCAGTCTCCCAATAAATGAGTGACAGTCAGTGCATTGGTGCTGCTTAGGAATCCCATGAGGAGCCTTGGGAGATGTGGACTGGGGCTGGAATATATGCAGGTGAGCGGTTGACAAGCATGGACTGAGATGCTGCTGGGCCATTCCCTTTGGGGGTGAAAGAAGATAGAGAGGTGTGGAAAGAAATGATGACTGAGCTTGTCTTCCCAACTGGGGCAACCTAGTTAGTGTGAAATAGTCACCTAAAGAATTGGTTAATACAAAAGACACTGTAACAGCTTCATTTAAGACATTAATAAGAAATCTTTATTGGCCTTTCTGTTCCTCACAGCATTTGACTCATCTGTACACTTTATTCCTGCCACCTCTCTCCTTCACAAACCTTTTCTAGGAAAGTCCTCAGATTTCATCTTCTGCAACTCATCTTTAGCATGCAGAGTGGGGGCAGGGCTTGTTCCTCTGAAGTTAGCCCCTGGCCTGGCCACATGTGACATCCAGTTGTGGTAGGAAGCTGAGAAGGAGAAACGTAATGACATCTAACATCGATTTTCAGGTAATGTTGCTAGGAATAGGAAATGCCATGTTCAGTTTCCCATCACGTAGCCTAGTCATGGTTTCTGTGTGCTCTGCTCAGGAAATCCTGTAAAATGGAAAGGGTACAACAGGCTAAGTTCTTGGCTTCATTCCTAGGAGGATGAAGGGTAGGCCAAGCTTCACAAGGCAGGGAAAGACAAACTCTGCTCTGGGACAGGAGAATCTCCATCATGCCCTGCTGATGCCGCTGTTGAAATAGGGTTTTTTTTTGCTTCTGAAAACCCTCATGCACAGGAAGTCAAGGTAGTTGCTTTAAGTCATGATGAATATCAAGTGGACCACATGACAGTTTAAGGTTTTCTTTGGAGCATGTATTCTGTGGAAATACATTGCTTTTCAGTAGAATTTGTCCTGTATGTGTCAGTACTTTTCCAATGGAACAAAAGAATAAAACTGTTTGATTTGGCAGTGTTACTTGTTCACCTCAGAAGTGATTTTTCTCCTGACCAGATTGTCCTAGACAGTGTTAATCTCTAGATGACAGGTTCCCAGTGGTGCTGCAGGGGCCCTGCTATGTGTGATTCAAGGAAAATATCAATGTTATCAACATTGAGATTGTAAGGCCGGACACCTCATCAGGAGCCCGGACAGCCACCCAGCTCTACACTTAGCACCCAGCTCTACACTTAGCACCCAGCTCTGCACTCAGCACCCAGTTGTGCACCCAGCCCTCCATTAGGGAATTCTGGCTGATGCAACCCTAACCAAATCCTGCACCAAAAAACCCGCCCGACGACCCGCCAACCAATAGCGGCCCAATCCCGCTCCCCTAGAGCCAATCAGAGCGCCCGGCTGTTGCTCGTTACTCATAGCCACAAAAACCCCACGCCCCAGGAAGTCAGTGCGACTTCTCTGATCCCTTTCCCAGACCATAGAACCTCGCCGGGGAGCTGAATAAACGGACATTTATTTTTCTTATACTGGCCTCAGTTTCCTCATTTTAAACTTGGCAATAACCCTTACAGAGGTTCTTAGAATTCATGGACAGATGCTCAGTGGGCTCCATGGGAGAGAGCAAGAGAGAGCCTCGTGCTGGATCTGAAGGGGAACATGACGGGAAAAAGGAACGGGGGAACATGAGGACATTTGGGACATTGCTAAAAGAGAATCTCAAGGTTGCACTGTTAAGGGTATCAGTTCAACATCATCACCAGGGGCCAGGCAGGATATGAGACCCCTTCTGAGGAGGAGAGAGTAGGACTTGGCCTTCCTCTCTGTCAAGAGCATGGTGTGAACATCATACTAAATGCCTTGAGAAAGGAGCTTTCTTCCTGTCCCATGTCTTCTCCATCTCTTTGTGTGATGATGGCAATGACACCAGCAGAACTTGGTGAGAGCGGCAGAACAGAAATCAGGTCTCCACTTTTCTGACACAGAGCTGACTGGACACGAGTCAGTGGGAATGGACCTCAGGGTCAGCCCAGACACAGAGAGATTCCAGACCTGATCTTCCTGGGGCTGGGACAGATAAGTTTTCATTTTTCAACTTTTCTGAAAGTCTCCTGAGGAACAGTTCTTCAGTTGACACTGCTGGCCAAGGGTTATCTGGCCCAGAACAACTGGACAGAGCCCCCCAGCTCTTGGCCTGGGCAGCTGCAGCACTCCCAAGTAGCAGGGCAGGTGGGGAGGTACATGAGTTCCAGTACAGGGTGATCTCAGCAGAGGGATGAGGACTGATCCCAGAGTCCCGGTTATCCTTCTGTGGAATCTGTAACACCTCAGTTTCTACTTGTTTTAGAGATGGTTTAAAATCTTCCGTATCAAACTCTGAGTCTTCCAACAGGTGAACAGAGGAACCCTGGCTATAGGTGTTTACTAGCAGAGCAGAGACTGTGTCTTCTTCATTTGTCCTTATCCCAGAGCTCAGTCCTGGGGAGGACATGTTAGGCCCCATGGATGTTTTAATGAACACACCCCTGGGATGAGCTCTAGGTCACCCCTGGGCTGGGATCTAGTGCAGGTGTGGAAAGGTTTTCTTCTCAGCCTGTCCAGCCTGTTCAGCCCCACACTCATCCTGGAGCCCACCCAGTTTCTGAGTCAGGGTCCCTGGAGATGAGGGTGAGCTCCTGAGGACAGCAAGATGCCCCCACCCCTCTGCTCCTGCCTCTCTGGTCTAG